TGTGTGTTGTGCCGTCTCTAGGGAAAGTTGTTTATCATCTCTTGTGGATTTCAAGAGAGGTGTTTTCTTATCTTTATCTTTTCATTGTAATTTGTTTGTAACAACTTTGACTATAGTGACAGCGTTAATCCTTTGTTTGAGTGATTAGCAACTGGACATAGGGTCTTTTGATCCGAACCAGTATAAATCTCCTGTGTAAGATTCTCTTCTCTTCTCTATTTACATTTACACAGTTTTTAATCGGTAAAATTTGGGGATAATTTTGAAAACCTAATTTTTTATTAAGAAACCAATTCACCCCCCCTCTTGGTTTTTGTCCGTCCACGCGAACATTCCGCTGCGCGATTCTAACAAATGTGTCTAGTTTATATTGCTTCGAGAATCATGATTTTTGGAGCTCTATAAAAAAATAATAAATAAAACAGTGAGCCAATGTTAGTACCAGTATAAAATAAAATATGACATCTGACCCAATCTTCCAAGCCCAAAATTGCTTTAAACTGTCCTAAAAATAATAATGAGCAAAAATTAGATCAAATAGACTCAAATTAATTAAAATCTAAATTATTGGCCCAATGAAGTCCAATTAATAAAAATTCACTAATAACAAAATGTTAAGCCCAAAACACTAATTAAAATAAGTATAGAAAGGTAAGAAAATATGGGAATATAATGACTCATCAGTGCCCAAATCATGGATTTGAAGATATTGCCCAGTTGAACATTTTCTGCACTGGCCTGAGACCTGATACAAAGATGCTCTTAGATGCTGCAGCAGGAGGAACCATGATGTTTGTGGATGATGAACATGCCACAAGAATTATTGATGCACTAGCCTCTACAGACTAGTAGGCCCAACATGATAGACATCTAGTTCAGAGGAAAAGAATGCTTGATCTTAGCACCACAAATGCTATCCTAGCTCAAAATAAAATTCTAATTCAACAGATTGAAGCATTGACTAAGCAAATGACAAAACTACCTCAATAATTACATGTTGTCCAATCCACTTCCAACCAACAAATGAGTTGTGACTTTTGTAGAGATGATCATTCAAATGGACACTGCTCTTATCAAGCCAACCTACAAGAAGAAGAAGTTCATTATATGGGTGCTCAAGGTGGTAGTGGTCAAGAAAGACAAGCAAATTTCCCTAATTCCAACAACTATCAGAACAATTTTTCACAAGGATGCAAAGGGAATCAAAATCAGAACTTTGGATGAAAATAAGGTGTTGGTCCATTTAATAGACATCCTTCAAATCAACAACAATCATATCAACAACTTCCATATCAACAACAACAACAACAATATTACCCTCCAATGCATGAAAGAACATCAGGTATTAAGTTGCTAAAAAGACATAAAGGGGCAGATGTTGATAGTACTTTATTCAAATGACTCATAGGAAGCGTTATGTATCCAAATGCTACTAGAATTCTACTTAGCGTGATTATTCGCTTGATGGAGCATCCTAAAGATAGTCACCTCCTAGCAACAAAACATATTTTGACTGTAAGGAACTCAAAAATTAGGAATTTTTTATAAAGCTGGAGGAAAGGTAGAATTACTTGCTTATACTGACAGTGATTATACAAGACATCTAGAAGATAGAAAGGGCACATTTGGTTATGTTTTTAAACTGGGAGATGGTGTAATATCTTGGTCATCAAAAAACAAAAAAATAACCAGTGGTTAGCTTATCCACAACAGAAGCAGAATTCATAGCAGCTGCATTTTGTGCTTGCCAATGTGTTTGGCTTAGAAAAATTTTGGAGCATCTAGATCACTGTTAAGAGGGAGCTACTGTCATTTTTGTGATAATGCTTCTACAATAAACTTACCCAAAAATTCAGCCTTACATGGAAGAAGTAAACATATTGATGTAAGATTTCATTTTTTTCCTCAAAAAATTTGGTTCTATAAAAAAGGAATGATACCTCCACATATTAACAAACTCACATGTACTAACAAAGATAACATCCATGTACTAACACCTTGTGTATGTACAAAATTTAAACAACGTACAAAATTTAAACTGCAACAAATAAATAAAATCTTATTCTCTATCAACAAATATTGTTTTCTTAGAAAACTTGGTTCTATTATCTTCATAGCATAAAGAAGTTAAATATATAGATTTAGCTTTACAACTGATCAACTAGAAAATAGGAAAGATAATTCCCACATACTAAAAAACTCTCACGTACTAATAAAGATAACACACATGTACTAACAACTTGTGAACCATGTACAAAATTTAAAACCACGTACAAAAATTTAAATTGCAACAAACAAATAAAACGTTATTCTTTGTGAACAAACCCTCCCTTAAACTGTATGCTCCTTGCAACAATTTTTTTTTTTTCTTCAAGCATGTCCAAAGTGCTTCGTAAATACTAGAAACTATCAACTTTAAGTGGCTTTGTCATTATGTCTGTTAATTATTTTTTTCTAATGCAATAGTTCAGCTCAATAACATCATTATTACATAAATCTCTCAAAAAATGAAATCTTACATCAATATGTTTACTTCTTTCATGTAAATTTTTGGATAATGTTATTATAGAAGCATTATCACAAAAAATGATAGTAGCTCATCTTGACAATGATCTACATGCTCCAAAATTCTTCTAAGTCAAACACATTGGTAAACATAAATGCAGCTACTATAAAATCTATTTCTGTTATGGATAAACTAACTACTGATTTTTTTTATGACCAAGATATTACACCATCTTCAAATTTGAAAACATAGTCAGATATGTTCTTTCTATCTTCTGGATACCCTACGTAATCTTAATTTTTATCATAGAAAACTTGGTTCTCTTTTCTTCGTAAAATAAAGAAGCTAAATATATAGATTTAACTTTACAACTGATGAACTAGAAAATAGGAAAGATAACTCGCACGTACTAACAAATTTTCAAGTACTAACAAAGATAACACCCACGTATTAACATCTTGTGAACCACGTAAAAAATTTAAACCACGTACAAAATTTAAACTGCAATAAACAAACCCTCCTTTAAACTGTATGTTGCTTGGAACAGCTTATTTTTTGTTCTTCAAGTATGCCCAAAATGCTTCATAGATACTGAAATCTATCAACTTTAAGTGGCTTTGTCATTATGTCTGCAAATTGTTTTCCGTTACTACAATAGTTTAGCTAAATAACACAATTATTACACAAATCTCTCGAAAAAAAAAATCTTACATCAACATGTTTACTTCTTCCATGTAAGACTCGATTTTTATATAATTTTATTGTAAAACTATTATCACAAAAAAATAACACTAGCTCCATCTTAACAGTGATCTAGATGCTCCAAAAATCTTGTCAGCCATACACATTGACAAACACAAAATGCAGTTGCTATGAACTCTGCTTCTGTTGTGGATAAGCTAACCACTGGTTATTTTTTTTTATGACCAAGATATTACCCCATCTCCCAATTTGAAAACATAACTAGATGTACTCTTTCTATCTTCTACATCCCCTGCATAATCATTATCAGTATAGGCAAGTAATTCCACATTTCCTTCAGCTTTATATAAATTTCTTAAAATTTGAGTTCCCTGCAAATATCTCAAGGTAAGTTTGCTGCTAGGATGTGATTGTCTTTAGGATGCTCCATGAAGTGACTAATTGAATGTGCAATATCCGGTCTAATAGCATTAAGATAATAGGGCTTCCTATAAGTCGTTTGAATAAAGTACTATCAACTTCTGTCACTTTATCTGTTTTAGTAACTTAATACCTGGAACAATACTATTCTTAACTAAGTTACAGTCAAACCTATGGAATCTCTAACATATCCTTGATATATTTCTTTTATCCAATAAAAATTATGTCACAGCTTTGCAAAACTTCAATGTCAAGCAAGTATCTCATCTTGCCTAAGTCAGTCATAGCAAACTCATTCATCATTATCCTTTTAAACTCTAGAAACATTGATTCATGATTATTTGTGTACATCAAATCATCTACATAAACACAAACAATTAAGAGTGCACATTTCTCCTTCTTTGACAAATAGAGTGTGTTCATGTGGGCATTTTAAAAAATCATTAGCTACAAGACTCCAACCTACTGTACCAGGCTCTACCAGTCTGTTTAAGACTATATACAACTTTTCTAAGTTTGTATATTCACGTCCCCTAGAGATATATGTTAATATTTTCACTCATGGATTCAAATTACCTGACAAGTGTACCAAGTTTTGATGTATTAAAGAGTTATCGTCCATAGGGATTTGTGACTTAGTGATATTGCAGATAAGATATGGTTGTCATCATGGATTGAAAGTATGGTTTGAGGCAAACAACTAAAATAATCGCAATTTTTGGTATATATCGAAAAGTGATTATAAATAAAGCAGATTGAATTACATGCACTTGCTTCCATCCTTATTTCCCAACCATATAATTTATGTTTTACAATTTCACTCTCAGTATATAACTTGGCCTGATTCCTCAAAACCAAGTCCTAGGGTGTTAACCATGAATGTGATTCCTCAACAGTTCAAACCCAACACTTTGCCTTATGAATAAATCTTGAGATTAACGTGATTAATAAACAACTTCTATTCCTAGAGAGGTTGTCTATTAAGCATTTGATCCATTTCTGGTTAATGAAAATATTTTCCAACACAATCAAAAGCCTCGGATCTTAAATCGGTTGATCACTCCAAAGAAAGCATTAAGAATAGAATCAAACACAACTGTAGCAACAAAAATCATATATATGGAGAAATGGTCTGAAAGTAGTTACATGTAATCCAACCCAAAGAGTTTTAGCTCCTCATTGAGGAACCCATTACAAAGCAAGAGAAGAAGGAGAAGAAATTACAACAAAACTTGTTGGATTCAAGTTGATATGCGTTCCCACGAGCTCCTTTAGGTCTAAACTGTCTTTCTTTCTTTCTCCCCGCGCGAGCCTCTCTCTTTCTCCCCGCGCGAGCCTCTCTCTTTCCTCTGTTCTTTCATTTCTTAAATAGAAATTAGGTCTAAGAAGAGGGAAATCCGTTGGGCGCCGGGATGATGCACTGGGCGGATTGAGCCCCCACGAGCACCCACTTCGTTCAGGGAAATTCGCTGGGCGCCTAATAAAAGCACTGGGCAGATTGGTTTTCAGCCAAAATCTGCTGGGCGCAGCTCGTGTGCGCTGGGCTGATTTTCTTCTTCCAATATTTCTCTTTCTCTTCCTTCAAATCCTGAATCAAAGAACAACTTAAAGAATAGTTACTTGATAAAATCTTCTCATGATTTTTATGCTCTTTAAGGTTAAGATTACAGAAAAAAGATGCAAATGTTGTCTAATAAAGGTGAGTTTCTCAATGAAATTTATACTCAATTAGCTCCTTAACAATATAACCTTGTGGTTATTCTAAGTATGCATCTTCATTGATTACCCCATGTAAGAAGGCTGACTTGATATCAAGCTGATAAATGTTCCACCTTTTTGTGGTGGCTAATGCAACAACAATTCTAATGATTTCCAAACGAGCTACTGGTGCAAAAATCTCTATATAATCAATGCTCTCTTCTTGGGTGTATCCTTTTGCTACTAGTCTGACTTTAAATTTGTCAATCACCCTGTCTCCTTCAATTTTGTCTAGTAAATCCACTTGACACTTGTAATTTTGCAATTTGGTGGTGGATCAACTAGCTCGAATGTATCATTTCTTTGAATGACTGGAAATTCAGCATCCATGACATCTCTCCAATGTTGAGTGTGTGATGCTTGATTGTATGTTACTGGATCTGCACCTGCAAACATTGCAAAATTATAGGTGTCAAATGGATTTATTAGACAAAATTGAATGAGATAAGGGATGGACAAATTTAAAGCCAGATCAGTAGGAAAAGGAGAGGACATTGATTATAACGAGATTTTTGCACAATAGCTCGTTTGGAAACCATTAGAACAATTGTTGCATCAGCAGCCAAAAAAGTGGAACATTATCTTTATATCAAGTCAGCCTTCTTACATGGGGCAAGATGATGTATACTTAGAACAACCATAGGGTTATGTTTCTAAGGGATGTGAACATCAAGTATTAAGTTGCTGAAAACAAATAAAGGGGCAGATATTGATAGTACTTTATTCAAATGACTTATAGGAAGCCTTATGTATCTGAATGCTACTAGATCGAATATTGCACATTCAATTAGTGTGATTAGTCACTTCATGCAGCATCCTAAAGATAGTCACCTCCTAACAGTAAAACATATTTTGACATATTTGCAGGGAACTCAAAGTTTAGGAATTTTTTTATAAAGCTGGAGGAAATGTAGAATTACTTGCCTATACTGATAGTGATTATGTAGGGGATCTAGAAGATAGAAAGAGTATGTTTGGTAATATTTTCAAATTGGGAGATAGTGTAATATCTTGGTCATCAAAAAGAAAAAAACAACTAGCGGTTAGCTTATCCACAACAGAAGCAAAATTCATAGCAGCTGCGTTTTGTGCTTGCCAATGTGTTTGACAGAGAATAATTTTGGAGCATGTAGATCACTGTCAACAGGGAGCTACTGTCATTTTTGTGATAATGCTTCTACAATAAAATTATCCAAAACTCCAATCTTATATGGAACAAGTAAACATGTTGATGTGAGATTTCATTTTTTTTTCCTCAGAAAACTTGGTTCTATTATCTTCAAAAAATAACAAGAGCTAAATATATAGATTTAGCTTTACAATTGATGAACTAGAAAATAGGAAAGATACCTACACATTTTAACAAACTTATACGTACTAACAAAAATAACAAAGGTAACACCCACCTACTAACACCTTGTGAACTACGTACAAAATTTAAACAACGTACAAAATTTAAACTGCAACAAACAAATAAAACTTTATTTTCTGTCAACAAATGTTGTTATCTCAGAAAACTTGGTTCTATTATCTTCCTAAAATAAAGAAGCTAAATATATGAACTAGATAATAGGAAAGATAACTCCCACGTACTAACAAACTCTCACGTACGAACAAAGATAACACCCACCCACATACTAATAGGTTGTGAACCACGTACAAAATTTAAACTGCAATAAACAAATAAAACATTATTCTTTGTGAACAAACCCTCCCTTAAACTGTATGCTCCTTACAATAGTTTTTTTTGTTCTTCAAGCATGTTCAAAGTGCTTCGTAAATACTAAAAAGTATCAACTTTAAGTGACTTTGTCATTATGTCTGTTAATTATTTTCTGTTGTTGAAATAGTTCAGTTCAATAGCACCATTATTACACAAATCTCTCAAAAAATGAAATCTTACATCAATATGTTTAAGAAGGCATTTAAAGAATCAAAAACTGAAAGTCTTTATGGAATTCACTGGGAATATCCAACCTGATCTTGTGCGGGTTTTCTACTCAAACCTCTCGGTCAATGGTTCAACCATCAAATCACAGGTTAAAGGAATTGACATGGTTATTACTCCTGCTGTATGGAATGAGGTAGCAGGTCTTAAAGATATTGGAGTCAAGGTATCTAGAGGAAATGTCTCTGAGCTACCTGAATTCAACAAAATCCAATTCTTTCGCTCATGTCTCAAGAATATCAATGACTCGGTCACAATTTTGAATGTTGGAAAAATGAAGCTGGAAAAAAGACTACTGACTTTCATTATAGCATGGGTGCTTACACCTAGGGGGACCAATCATGCTCTATTAAATGAGGGGGATCTTGCTCTCATGTACTACCTCCAGAACAATATACGGGTTAATTGGGTGTTTGTGATTAAAGATCATATGATCAAGGCAAAACGTCTTGGTGATTTTAAATTACCATATGCTTTGTTAATTAACAAATTCTTTCACTATTTTGCAGTTGACTTAGCAGGAGAGTATGTGAAAACTCCCAAATCCACAAATGAAATTGATGATTCAACTCTTTGGAAAATGGGATTCATCAAAGTGGATTGAGATTGGATTTCTGAAACTGAAATTGGGATGTCAGAAGATGAAGATGATGGAGAAGATTATGAAAATACTGAAATTCCATATTCTCTAGCTGCAGAAGTCCCTCAATCCACTAAAGATCAACCAACAACTGACTATAACAAGGAAATCACTCCATATTGCCCAACCTGATCGTGAAACACCTCTCTCTAAATTTGAGCGTACAATGCTATATGTCCCAAATGGCAACTCTGCAAGAAAATTAGAGAAAACATATGCAAATGACATACCAGCATTATCAACACACCAACTCTCAATTGTCCAACCTTACCAAATCACTGACCTTTACACAAAATTGGAGAACATGCAGCTGAATCAAGGAGACTAGGATGATTAAATCTAGACAACGGGGTCCAATCTCTTTCATCTTTGTTATTTTCTTTGTTATTTTCTGCTTTTCTTTTTATTTTGGATTGTAATATTTAGTTGGTTTTTAACCAGTAGACAATTAAACCTCTAAATAAATTTTTCATGTTTTGATTATACTATTTTGATGAAGTAAAAGGGGGAGAAATTATTTGAATTAAAATTTTATCACTAACACAGAAAAACCTAGTGTCTTCTCTGCAGCATTCAAAAAGTAATTGTCTTCATCAAATAGGGGGAGATTGATGATGATTAAAGAACCAGAAGATTTGATGAAGTCAAAGAGTTCTTTTGAATCAAAGTCAGAGAATATTTGGGTTATGGGATGTAGTGTAGTGTTTCTACATCTTATCTTAATAGGTATAATCATTTCTTAATTCATACTGCATTGGGTTTTATCATTCGAAAGAATAAAAAATGCCTCTAAACCTTTTAATCTGTTAAAAGTCTTATTAATTGGTTAATATGTTCTTGAGACTCGAAATTAATTGATAAATTTCTAGATTAATCGATTACAAGTTGTTAAAATCAATTTTGTCATCATTTTAACTGATATATTTTTGAAATAATCGATTAAAACCACTTATAGTGTGTAATGGCACCATTTTAACTTATATATTTTCAAATTAATCGATTAAAAACACTTAAGAAAGTTTTGGAAAATGTTCTGGCTGTATTTTAATCGATTCAAACTAAAATTAATTGATTAAAATCACTTGACATGTTTTAGAAAATATTCTGCTAGTATTTTAATCGATTAAAACTTGAATTAATCGATTAAAACTCGAATTAATCGATTAAAATCACTTACAGATCTTTTGAAGATTTTCTACAAGTATTTAATTGATTAAAACACAAATTAATTGATTAAAATCACTTAAGAAATTTTTGGATAATTGTTTTAATTGATTAAAACTTTTTTTATCAGTTAAAATAATTCTGAAAAATTAGATAGAACATTTTAATCGATTAAATGATATGCTCATCAGTTAAAACAGTTAGAATCAAGAATGTTTAATCGATTAAAAGAAGATTTAACCGATTAATTATGTTAGTTAGCTTCAAAAGTCTCTATATAAACAGTTTTACTTGAGCTTTTTAAACACACATTTGAGAAATCATTCAAGCAATCATAGAGATCATTTCAAAGAGAGAAGTGCGCAACTTTTAGTGAGGATTTTCAAAGTTCTCTCTTGAGGCTTTCTTGTGTTCTTTCTAAAGAAGAAATTCAATTTGCAGTGGAATCTTTGCATCTGCATAACTGAATTTGATTTTTCTTGTTTCTTCTTTCATTCTTTTTCAATTTTGTATTGTCTTAGTTCCTGGAAGTTTGGGTACTAGTTCTGCAGCTGGAATTTGGTTGCAAGTTTGGTTTAAGAACTGGATTTTGGTTCTTGGAGTGGATTGATTGTTTTGTAAATGTGTTTTGTACTCAAAACAATTTCAATCTAGTGGAACTCAACTAGAATTTGGTTGAGAACTAGACGTAGCCCAGTGGTTTGGGTGAACCAATATAATTCTTGGTGTTTCTCCTTCTCTTTAAACTCTTTCTTTAATTTTTGTGTGATTCTCCTCAAAGATAACAAAGATAATACCCACCTACTAACAGCTTGTGAACCACATACAAAATTTAAACCACGTACAAGATTTAAACCACGTACAAAATTTAAACTGCAACAAACAAATAAAACCTTATTCTCTATGAACAAACCCTCCCTTTTGCAACAATTTATTTCTAGTTTTTCAAGTATGCCCAAAGTGCTTCGTGGGTACTGAAAACTATCAAATTTAAATGGTTTTGTCATTATGTCTGCTAATTGTT